CCACCACGCTGGCTAATTTTTGTATTTTTAGTAGACACGGGGTTTTGCCATGTTGCCCAGGCTGGTCTCGATATCCTTACCTCAGGTGGTCCAACTGCCTCGCCCTCCCAAAGTGATGGAATGAGAGGTGTGAGCCACTACTGAGGCAGCCGTCTCATTTTTTTTTCAGATAGGGTCTCACTGTGTTGCCCAGACAGGAGTGCAGTGCTACCATCACGGCTCACTGCAGCCTTGACCTCCCAGGCCCAGCAATCCCCCCACTTCAGCCTCCCGAGTAGCTGGGACCACAGACACGTGCTACCACATCAGGCTAATTTTTGTATTGTTTGTAGAGACAGGGTCTGGCTATGTTGCCCAGGCTGGTCTTGAACTCCTGACCTCAAGTGATCCGCCCGCCTCAGCCTCCCAAAGTACTGGGATTACAGGTGTGAGCCACCGCGCCCGGCTAATTTTTGTATTTTTAGTAGAGACGGGGTTTCACCATGTTGCTCAGGTTAGTCTCAAACTGCTGACCTCAAGTGATCCACCTGCCTCGCCTTCCCAAAGTGCTGGAATTATAGGTGTGGGCCACCGCGCCCAGTTAATTTTTGTATTTTTAGTGGAGATGAACTTTGGCTATATTTGCTGAGCTGGTCTTAAACTTCTGACCTCAGAGTGATCCGCCCGCCTCAGCCTCCCAAAGTGCTGGGATTACAGGTGTGAGCCACATGGCAGTTAATTTTTTTTTTTTTTTTTTGTATTTTTAGTAGAGACGGGGTTTTGCTATGTTGCCCAGGCTGGTCTCGAACTCCTGACCTCAAGGGATCCACCCGCCTCAGCCTCCCAAAGTGCTGGGATTACAGGTATGACTACCGCACCTGGTTAATTTTGTATTTTTAGTAGAGACGAGCTTTTGCTATGTTGCCCAGGATGGTCTTGAACTTCTGACCTCACGTGATCCACTTCGCCTTGGTCTCCCAAAGTGCTTGGGATTACAGGTGTGAGCCACAGCGCCCAGTTAATTTTTGTATTTTAGTGGAGATGAACTTTGGCTATGTTGCCCAGGCTGGTCTTAAGCTTCTGACCTCAGTAGATGCCCGCCTCAGCCTCCCAAAGTGCTGGGATTACAGGTGTGAGCTACCGCACCACTGGTTATTTTATATTTTTAGTAGAGGCGAGCTTTTGCTATGTTGCCCAGATGGTCTTGAACTTCTGACCTCACGTGATCGCCTGCCTCAGCCTCCCAAAGTGCTGGGATTACAGGTGTGGGCCACCACACCTGCTAATTACAGCAATTTTAGTGGAGACGAACTTTCGCTATGTTGCCCAGGCTGGTCTTGAACTTCTGACCTCAAGGGATCCGCCTGCCTCAGCCTCCCAAAGTGCTGGGATTACAGGTGTGAGCCACCATGCCGGCTAATTTTGTATTTTTAGTAGAGACGGGGTTTCACCATGTTGCCCAGGCTGGTCTCGAACTGCTGACCTCACGTGATCCGCCCGCCTCACCCTACCAGCCCGATTGCGTATAGGCGTGAGCCACCGCGCGCCCGGCCGTTCCTGTCAGTATGTATCTCCTGTTTGTTCTCTGTGGACTGTGTTCTGCCCTCTCGACCCAAACTCATGTCGTCATCCATCGTCTGACCTATGGTTCTGGACATTGCAACTGTGCAGACCTCTCTCCCGTCTAAAGGAAGAAGAAACAGAGGTTCAAGTGGTTGATCCTTACCCACAAACAGTGGAGGAGGATCTCACCAGGTCCCATCTTTCATCGACCAACGTTTGATCTTCCAGTCTGTAACCCCAGCACTTTGGGAGGTCGAGGCCGGTGGATCACGAGGTCAGAAACTGCCGAGACCATCCCGGCCAACATGGTGAAACCCCGTCTCTACTAAAAATACAGAAATTAGGCCAGTGTAATTAGAACCACGCAGGACTAATTTTTGCATTTTGGTAGAGATGGGGTTTCCATCATGTTGGCCAGGCCTGGTCTCGAACTCCTGACCTCAGGTGGTCACCTTGGCCTCCTAAATTGTTGGGATTATAGGGGTGGAGCCACCGTGCCCAGCCTAGTTTTACTTTTCATCTTTTTAGAGACAGAGTCTCCCTCCCAAGTAGCTGGGACCACAGGCACATGCCACCATGCCTGGCTAGTTTTACATTTTTTTTTAGAAGTGGGGTCTCACTATGTTGTCCAGGCTGGTCTTGAACTCTTGGGCTTTTTATACGTTAGCCTCCAAAAGTGCAGGTTACAGCCATGAGACAATCAGGCGTTTTCCCTTTTTCTTTTCTTTCTTTTTCTTTTTTTTTTGAGATGGAGTCTTGCTCTGTTGCCCAGGCTGGAGTGCAATGGGGTGATCTCGGCTCACTGCAACCTCTGCCTCCCAGGTTCAAGCGATTCTGTTGCCTTAGAGACCTTAATTGCATCTGGAAAGTTCCAGCACCTTTACTACATAGCATCATGGGACTGATATCCTCAGGAGCTATTTTTATTTGCCTTTCATGCTCAGATTCATGGAAATTATACAGACTGGGTACACAGCAAAAATCATGGCTATCTCCTATGACAAAAATTACGGCTGCAGATATCAGAGAACTTTGTTTTTTTATTTCTAAGAATTTTTGCATTCAGGAGAGGGGATGTTTTAACTTGCAAAATGTTTTACAAGTGAGGTCTCCACTCGTTGTCCAGGCTTAGGAGGCCAAGCATTTTCCTTCAACATTTTCCAAATTACGATAATCATCCTTTGGTGCTTGCTGATTTCTGAAGGAGTGACTATCTCCTTCTGGTCGCTTTGTGAAATACCTTCAGGGGCTATAGCTGAGTGGCAAAGCTCCCCGGGAAGCATGCCAATGGTATGTAAAAGCAACAGCTACGAGAGAAGAATTTTTAAAGAGAACCCCAAGCAGCTTTCGTGTCCCTAAGAAGAAGGAGAATGGACATGAGAGGCAGCAAAGGGGTGTGTCTCACTGAGAAGCCTGCTTGGGGTTCACAAGAATGGTCCCCGTCCTGGGCACGCTGGTGTGTTTGGTCAAGTAGAGACTCATAATCGTACTAATATTAGCCTTTAGGGACATCATGGCTCACACAGAGCCAAATGCCCCCAAATACCCACAAGCCCTCTTCTTTCCTCCCTCCCCCTCCTTCCCTCTCCCCCTTCCTTCTTTCCTCCCATCCCCTCCTCCTCCCCTCCCTCCCTTCCCCTCCCTTCCCTTCCTTCTTTTCTCCTGTCCCCTCCTCCACTCTCCTCCTCCTTTCCCCTCCCCTCCCCTTCCTTCTTTCCTCCCATCCCCTCCTCCACTCCCTCCTCCCACTCCCCTCCTCCACTCCCTCCCCTCCTTTCCCCTCTCCTCCCCTTCCCTTCTTTTCTCCCGTCCCCTCCTCCCTCCCCTCCCTCCCCACTCCCCTCCTTTCCCTTTCCCTTCCCTTGCTTTCCTCCCATCCCTCCTCCCTCCCCTCCTCCCACTCCCCTCCCCTCCTTTCCCCTCTCCTCCCCTTCCCTTCTTTTTCTCCCGTCCCCTCCTCCACTCCTCCCTCCCCCACTCCCCTCCTCCCTTCCCCTCCCCTTCCATTCTTTCCTCCCATCCCCTCCTCCCACTCCCCTCCTCCTCCCCTCCCCTCCCTTCCCCTCCCTTCCCCTCCCCTTCCCTTCTTTTCTCCCGTCCCCTCCTCCACTCCCCTCCCTCCCTTCCCCTCCCCTTCCCTTCTTTCCTCCCTCCCTCCTCCTCCCTCCCTCCCTTCCCTCCCTTCTTTTCTCCTGCTCCCCTCCTCCCTCTCCTCCCCTCCTTTCCCCTCTCCTCCCCCTTCCCTTCTTTCCTCCCATCCCCCTCCTCCTCCCTCCCTCCTTCCCCTCCTTCCCTTCTTTTCTCCGTCCCCTCCTCCTCCCCTCCCCTCCCTTCCCCTCCCCTTCCCTTCTTTCCTCCATCCCCTCCTCCCTCCCCTCCCCTCTTTCCCCTCTCCTCCCCTTCCGTTCTTTTCTCCGTCCCCTCCTCCACTCCCCTCCCCTCCTTTCCCCTCCCCTTCCCATCTTTCCTCCCATCCCTCCTCCTCCCCTCCTCTTTCCCCTTCCTCCCCTTCCCTTCTTTCCTCCCATCCCCTCCTCCACTCCTCCCTCCTTTCCCCTCTCCTCCCCTTCCCTTCTTTTTCTCCCGTCCCTCCTCCACTCCCCTCCCCTCCCTCCCTTCCCCTCCCCTTCCTTCCCTTCCCCTCCACTTCCCTCCCTTCCTCTCCCTTCTTTTCTCCCGTCCCCTCTACTACCCTCCCCTCCCCTTCCCTTCTTTCCTCTCCCTTCTTTTCTCCATCCCCTCCTCCTCCCCTCCCCTCCCTTCCCCTTCCCTTCCTTCCCTTTCCCTCCCTTCCCTCCCTTCCCCTGCCCTTGCTTCCCTTCCCCTCCCTTCCCTCCTTTCCTCCCTTCCCTCCTTCCCCTCCCCTTCCCTCCCTTCCTCTCCCTTCCTCTCCCTTCTTTCCTCCTGTCCCCTCCTCCCCTCCCCTCCCCTCCCCTTCTTTTTGAGGTGGAGTCTTGCTCTCGTCACCCAGGCTGGAGTGCTGCGGCCCAACCTCGGCTCACTGCAACCCCTGCCTCCCGGGTTCAAGCCGTTCTCCTGCCTCAGCCTCCTGAGTAGCTGGGACTGCAGGCGCCCAGACACCACGCCTGGCTAATTTTTTGTATTTTTTGAAGACAGGGTTTCACCATGTTGGCCATGGTCTTCAAACTCCTGACCTCAGGTGATCCACCCGCCTCGGCCTCCCAAAGTGCTGGGATTGCAGGCACGAGCCACCGTGCCCGGCCTAAACCGCAGACTTTCATGTCTCACGGTTCTGGAGGCTGAGAGTCAAGATGGATGCGTGGGAGGTTCAGGGGTCTGGTGAGGACCTGCTTCCTGGTTCACTGATGGTTCCTTCTGGCTGTGTCTTCACATGGTGGAAAGGGCGAGGGAACCCTGTGGGGCCTGTGCTTCTAAAACTAAAATCCCACTCATGACTTAACTACCTCCTTAAAACCCCATCTCTAATATTCTTGCAGTGGGTGAGGAGAGAAGTCATTGTCACCTGCCTCTGAAGAGGAGGAGGAAGTAAAAGCTGAAAAACAACAGGAATGAAGTTAGTGGCAAGGAACTCCAGCCAGAGTGCCACGGATGACCAGGCCTGAGGTTAAAAGATTAACTCCCCACTCGAACCACATGTGCTCTCCATCTATCACCCTTTCCTTGGAACCCCTTAGAGTTGTAAGCCCTTCAAGGGCAGGAACTCTGTCTTCGGGGGAGCTGGGCTCTTAAGACTGGAGTCTGCCAACGCTCCCGGCCGAATGATAAAACCTCTTGCTTCTTTAATCCAGTGTCACAGGAGTTTTGTCTGCGGCTCGTCCTGCTGCGTGGGAACTGAGTTTGCACTTGAGTCTCAGAAGGACAGAAACATCAAAGGTATAGCAACCCTCTCACACAGGCTGGTCCCTCTGAAGCCTGCCTGGGTTCTGGGAATGGTCCCCCTTCCCGGGGCCCTGTGGTGTGTTCTCTTTCTCCTTTGTCGCCTGCTGACGTTGAGAAATGTAAGACTCTGTTCTGATGCTCTGACCTGGATTTCCATTTATAATAAATAAATGAATCGTTATAAATTATCATTATTTATTTACTGGAGAGTCTTGCTCTTGTCACCCAGGCTGGAGTGCAGTGGCGTGATCTCGGCTCACTGCAACCTCCGCCTCCCGGGTTCAAGTGATTCTCCTGCCTCAGCCTCCTGAGTAGCTGGGACTACAGGCACCCGCTTCCGCTGGGCTGTGATTTTGTCTTTTAATGAGACGAGGTTTCACCATGCTGCCCAGCTGGTCTTTTTTTTTTTTTTTTTGAGACGGAGTCTTCCTCTGTTACTCAGGCTGGAGTGCAGTGGCGCAATCTCCGCTCGCTGCAAGCTCTGCCTCCCGGGTTTACACTGTTCTCCTGCCTCAGTCTCCCTAGCAGCTGGGACTACAGGTGCCCGCCACCGCCCCCACTAATTTTTTTTTGTATTTTATTGGACATGGGGTTTACGCCATGTTAGCCAGGATGGTCTCCATCTCCTGACCTCATCATTCGCCAGTCTCGGCCTCCCAAAGTGCTGGGATTACAGGCGTGAGCCACCACGCCTGGCCCCAGGACAGTCTTGAACTCTTGACCTTGTGATCCTGCCACCTTGGCCTCCCAAAGTGCTGGGATTACAGGCGTGAGCCACCGCACTTGGCCTCATTTATTTTATATGGTTACATTATACATTGTTACATTTCATAATTACATTAAATATTGTCAGTTATTAATTACAGTATAGATTATCATTATTTCATGACATTATAAATTAATTTTACGATTATATTATACATTAGCATTTATTTCATAATTACATTAGATTATCATTTATTTTTAAGTTACATGATAAATTATCATTTATTATTTCATAATTACATGAATTATTTTATAATTACAAATTATCAGTTGTTTCATAATCACAATACAAATTATCTTGTTTCATAATACCATTGAAAGTTGTCATTTATTATTTCATAATTACATTATGTAATGGTATGCGATAATAACTAATTAATATTACAATTAATAATTAACAATTCAATTAATAATTAATGACAATGTATAATATGTAATTGTATAATTACGTCATAGAATATGATATCTAATTTATACATAAATTATATTCTTCAAGTATATTACACACAATTTGCAAATATGAATCGTTACAGGATCCTATTATATTTCAGAATTTTATTACAGATATTTGACTCTATAATTGGAATTTAGACCCCACACCGACCTCCCTTCTGTTTACGGCTTAAGGGCGATGACCTGGCCAGGAGACATTCCCGGTTACCGCAGGCAGGTGGCCGCATGGGGGAGGGGAGGAACTGACCTGGCACTTGCGCGCAGTGCAAAGGCCGGGCTCCCGAAGTCCCACAGCTTCTGGGGCGGGGCCAGGACAGAGGAGAAACCTGGTGTCGCCGCGCGGCCGCTTTTCCGCGAGCCCTCGCGCCGGAACCGGAAATGCGTCACAGAGGGCGGGCGGCGACGGCGGTGGCGGCGTCGGAAAACACGCACCTCCGGGGACGGTGGCGGCGCCGGGTGTTGAGCCGCGCCTGTCGGGAGTCGTCGAAGGGGGACGGCAGGCTTGGGCTGGCGGCGACGGCCGCTGGGACGCAGGCGGAGCCCCGCGCAGGTGAGGTGCCGCCCCGGGCCGCCCAGGCCTGGCAGGCCTTCGCTGGTCGGACCGGGCCCGGGGGCGGAGCTTGGGAGGCGGGGCTGGGGCCTGGGGGGCGGGGCCTGGGGCTCGGAGGGGACCGCGGGGCTGGGGTTGGGGGGCGTGGGAGGTGGCCTCAGGGGGCTGAGGCGCCGGGGAACCGGGGGGCTGGGGGAGGTCCTCGGTCGGGGTCGGGGTCCCAGGGAGAAGTAGGGGGTGGGGGAGGCTGAACCCGAGGGCCCAGGGCTTGGGGGGCGGGGCCAGGGCCTGAGGCTCGGAGGGGGACGGGGCCTGGGGTGGGGGGCGTGGGGTGGCCTCAGGGCGCTGAGGCACCGGGGGGCCATGCAGAGCCGGGGGACTGGGGAGAATCTGCAGTCGGGGTCGGGGTCCCAGGGAAGTAGGGGTGGGGGCTGGGCCCAGGGGCCAGGGCGCAGGGGGCAGGGCTGGGGCCTGGGGGGCAGGGCTGGGGGCTCGGAGGGGACGAGGCAGGGTGGGGGCGTGGGAGATGGCCTCGAGGAGCTGAGGCCGCCGGGGCCGTACGGGGAACCGAGGAGCTGGGGAAGTCGCGATCGGGGTCAGGGGGTCAGGAAGTGGGGGTGGGAGCTGGAGGCGATTTCCAGGACTCCACCCGAGGAGCTGAGGCCTGGAAGGCAGGTCTCGAGAGGCTGGGAGCTCGAGAGAGACCGGATGGGGTCCCAGAATTCGGCCAGGCAGGAGACTGGGAGGCCTGGGACTTCTTGGACGTGGCGCTGCGGTCGCTCCCAGGTCTACACTGGGAAGCCAGGAGGCTGTCCGGGGTTTCGGACCCGGGGGCTTTGAGGCTCATCCGGAGTGGTGACCGAGGGGCGGGGTACCCGTGGCCCGAGGGCCTGAGAGTGCGTGGGGCCTTTCAGGGAGGACCAGGGGGGTGCCACGGATGACCAGGCCTGAGGTTAAAAGATTAACTCCCCACTCGAACCACATGTGCTCTCCATCTATCACCACCCTTTCACATGGAACCCCTTAGAGTTGTAAGCCCTTCAAAGGGCCGGGAACTCTGTCTTCGGGGAGCTGGGCTCTTAAGACTGGAGTCTGCCAACGCTCCCGGCCGAATGATAAAACCTCTTGCTTCTTTAATCCAGTGTCTGAGGAGTTTTGTCTGCGGCTCGTCCTGCTGCGTGGGAACTGAGTTTGCACTTGAGTCTCAGAAGGACAGAAACATCAAAGGTATAGCAACCCTCTCACACAGGCTGGTCCCTCTGAAGCCTGCCTGGGTTCACAGAATGGTCCCCCTTCCCGGGGCCCCTGGTGTGTTCTCTTTCTCCTTTGTCGCCTGCTGACGTTGAGAAATGCAAGACTCCTGTTCTGATGCTCTGACCCTGGATTTCCATTTATAATAAATAAATGAAAATGCGTTATAAATTATCATTATTTATTTACTGGAGAGTCTTGCTCTTGTCACCCAGGCTGGAGTGCAGTGGCGTGATCTCGGCTCACTGCAACCTCCGCCTCCCGGGTTCAAGTGATTCTCCTGCCTCAGCCTCCTGAGTAGCTGGGACTACAGGCACCCACTTCCATACCTGGCTAGTTTTTTGTCTTTTTAATAGAGACGAGGTTTCACCATGCTGCCCAAGCTGGTCTTTTTTTTTTTTTTTTTTTTTGAGACGGAGTCTTCCTCTGTTGCTCAGGCTGGAGTGCAGTGGCGCAATCTCCGCTCGCTGCAAGCTCTGCCTCCCGGGTTTACACTGTTCTCCTGCCTCAGTCTCCCTAGCAGCTGGGACTACAGGTGCCCGCCACCACCCCCCCACTAATTTTTTTTTTGTATTTTTAGTGGACATGGGGTTTCGCCATGTTAGCCAGGATGGTCTCCATCTCCTGACCTCATCATTCGCCAGTCTCGGCCTCCCAAAGTGCTGGGATTACAGGCGTGAGCCACCACGCCTGGCCCCAGGCTGGTCTTGAACTCTTGACCTTGTGATCTGCCCACCTTGGCCTCCCAAAGTGCTGGGATTACAGGCGTGAGCCACCGCACTTGGCCTCATTTATTATTTTATAGTTACATTATAAATGATCATTTCATAATTACATTAAATATTGTCAGTTATTTCATAATTACAGTATAGATTATCATTATTTCATGACATTATAAATTAATTTTACGATTATATTATACATTAGCATTTATTTCATAATTACATTAGATTATCATTTATTTTTAAGTTACATGATAAATTATCATTTATTATTTCATAATTACATAAGTTATTTTATAATTACAAATTATCAGTTGTTTCATAATCACAATACAAATTATCTTAATTTCATAATACCATTGAAAGTTGTCATTTATTATTTCATAATTACATTATGTAATGGTATGCATTAATAACTATTAATATTACAATTAATAATTAACAATTCCATTAATAATTAACCAGCAATGTATAATATGTAATTGTATAATTACGTCATAGAATATGATATCTAATTTATACATAAATTATATTCTTCAAGTATATTACACACAATTTGCAAGTATAGAATCCCGTTACAGGATCCTATTATATTTCAGAATTTTATTACAGATATTTGACTCTATAATTGGAATTTAGACCCCACACCGACCTCCCTTCCTGTTTGGCTTAAGGGCGATGACCGCAGACCCTGGCCCAGGGACGTTCCCTGGTTACCCGCAGGCAGGTGGCCGCATGGGGGGGGGGGGGGGGGGAGGAACTGGCCTGGCGCACGCGCAGTGCAAAAGGCCGGGCTCCCGGAAGTCCCGCCTTCTAGGGCGGGGCCAGGACCAGGAGGAGAAACCTGGTGTCGCCGCGCGGCCGCTTCCGCGAGCCCTCGCGCCGGAACCGGAAATGCGTCACAGAGGGCGGGCGGCGACGGCGGTGGCGGCGTCGGAGGCGCCTCCAGGGGACGGTGGCGGCGCCGGGTGTTGAGGCCGCGCCTGTCCGGGGGTCGTCGGGGGACGGCGGGAGCTTGGGCCAGCGGCGGCGGCGGCCTGGGACGCAGGCGGAGCCCCGCGCAGGTGAGTGCCGCCCCCGGGCCGCCCGGGCCTGGCGAACGCTTCGCTGGTCGGACCGGGCCCGGGGGGCCGGAGCTTGGGAGGCGGGGCTGGGGCCTGGGGGGCGGGGCCTGGGGGCTCGGAGGGGACGGGGCTGGGGTTGGGGGGCGTGGGGTGGCCTCGGGGGGCTGAGAGCGCCGGGGGAACCGGGGGGCTGGGGAGGTCTGCGGTCGGGGTCCGGGGGTCCCGGGAAGTGGGGGTGGGGGCTGGAGCGGTTCCCGGGACTCCACCGAGGGAGCTGAGGCCTGGAGCGGTCTCGGGGGGCTGGGAGCTCGGGGGACCGGATGGGGGTCCCCAGGGTTCGGCGAGCGGGAGACTGGGAGGCCTGGGACTAGCGGACGTGGCGCTGCGGTCGCTCCCAGGTCTACACTGGGAAGCCAGGGGCTGTCCGGGGGTTTCGGAGGCGGGGGCTTTGGGGCTCATCCAGGAGTGCGGTGACCGAGGGGCGGGGGTACCGAGTGGCCGAGGGCCTGAGAGTGCGTGGGGCCTTTCAGGGGGGACCAGGGGCAGCCCGAGGCTATGCTGGGGGGCGGCGGTAGGTGGGAAGACCGGGGCAGCGCAGGGTACCGGGGGTTGGGCAGCCAGGTGTGCCGGGGTGGTCGGGGGCGCTGGAGGCCACAGTGGGGAGGGTTCCTCGGTGGTGTACTTGCTGGGGCCGCCTGGGTTCCGGGGGGAGGGTTCGCTGGTCTCTGCCCAGGCTGGAGCCCCTCCCTCGTGCCCCACTGACCTTTTCTGATAGCTTTTCCACACTCCCTCCCTTCTTTCGCGCCTCCCACCTCGGGCTTGGGCGAGGAGGCCGTGTCCTGGGCCTGGCAGGAAGCCTCCAGGTGGATGTGGTGGGCGGCCGGGCCGGAGGCGGTCACCTGGGATGTTCAGTGAAGCTTCCTCTGCTTGCAGCTGGCCGTCAGGAAGTGGCTGCCTGTCAGCTCCGTAGGGAAGAGCGGTGGGTTAAAGAAGGTGGGTGGGTGGAGGAAGAAGGCGCAGATGGGGGACTCTGGCCCCCAACTTTCGGAACGTTCCTTGTACTTTGTGGCTTTGACTGGGTTAAAGCTGGGAGACGTCTGGCCTTCGTGGAGATGACTAGGGTTCATGGTTCTGGATTGTTTTCGTAGCCGGAGACTTCCTGTTTTATCAGTGCAAGTACAGGGCCGCCGCCCCCTCCGCAAAGCCTTTCCAGATGCCTGCAGCTGTGCTCTCCCTGGCCCCTTCCCTTCCCTCCAGTGTCTTTCTGCTCCTTCCCGTGGAGCTAGGCGTTTGTAGCTTCCCCGTCCCTACTTGACCTGTGTGTGGGGTCTGGTCGTGCTCAGCTTCCTATTCTTCAGGCCTTGGGAGCTGCTGGGTGCTGGATGTACGGTGTTGGGCAGTGCTGGCCGAGGCTTCGACACTAACCTGTTCTTTATCAGCTCGGCTTTTTCCCCTTTAGTGTACGCTTAATGATTTCAAAAAGTAAGAAACTCCGTTGAGATGGCTTTTAACAAAGGAGAAACCAGTCTCTGACACGGCAGAGAGACACTGTCGTTTCTCTTCTCCGAGTCCCAAGGTGCCGGCTGGTGTGGCCCCTCCTCCTTGGCGGGGGAGCCGGTGGGGCCGACGCTGACCGTCTGCATCTTCTGTTTCAGGCCCGAGGTCCCGGAGGCTATGGCAGCGGCTACCATCGTGCACGACACGTCTGAGGCCGTGGAGCTCTGCCCCGCATACGGCTTGTACCTGAAGCCCATCACCAAGATGACCATCAGCGTGGCGCTCCCGCAGCTGAAGCAGCCGGGGAAGTCCATCTCCAACTGGGAGGTGATGGAGAGGCTGAAGGGCATGGTGCACAACCACCAGTTCTCCACGCTGCGTATTTCCAAGAGCACCATGGACTTCATCCGCTTCGAGGGGGAGGTGGAGAACAAGAGCCTGGTCAAGTCTTTCCTGGCCTGCCTGGACGGCAAGACCATCAAGCTCAGCGGCTTCTCCGACATCCTGAAGGTGCGCGCGGCCGAGTTCAAGATCGACTTCCCCACCCGCCACGACTGGGACTCCTTCTTCCGCGACGCCAAGGACATGAACGAGACCCTGCCGGGAGAGCGGCCGGACACCATCCACCTGGAGGGGCTGCCCTGCAAGTGGTTCGCCCTGAAGGAGTCGGGCTCCGAGAAGCCCAGCGAGGACGTCCTGGTCAAGGTGTTTGAGAAGTTCGGGGAGATCCGGAACGTGGACATCCCCATGCTGGACCCCTACCGGGAGGAGATGACGGGCCGCAACTTCCACACCTTCAGTTTCGGGGGGCACTTGAACTTCGAGGCCTACGTGCAATACCGCGAGTACGTGGGCTTCATCCAGGCCATGAGCGCTCTGCGCGGGATGAAACTCATGTACAAGGGCGAGGACGGCAAGGCCGTGGCCTGCAACATCAAGGTGAGCTTCCTCCCTCGGGCGGCTTCCTTCCAGCAGGGTCAGTAGATCGCTCCCAGCCACACCGCTTAGGCTGTGGGGACCTCCCCTGAGTAAAACGACAGCAACAGCCCCGTTCCCGTTGAATTTCAGAGACACAGGCGTGAGGTCGAGTAGGGGGTCCGTGCTGTGGTTTTGGAAATTCGGTATCTGAAGGAAGATGTCTAGTAGGTGAGGGTTGGACTCTCAGGAACGAACCTGGCCTTCCCAGAATGCTCCCTGAAACTAGGGATTAACGTTCCCTTAAGCCTCAGGTGCTGTTTGTTTTTGAGACAGAGTCTCGCTCTGTCGCCCAGGCTGGAGTGCAGCGGTGCGATCTCGGCTCACTGCAACCTCCGCCTCCTGGGTCCGAGCGATTCTCCTGCCTCAGCCTCCCGAGTAGCTGGGACTACAGATGCGTGCCACCACGCATGGCTAATTTTTATATTTTTAGTAGACAGGGTTTCGCCGTATTGGCCAGGCCGGTCTCGAACTCCTGACTTCGTGATCTGCCCGCCTCAGCCTCCCAAAGTACTGGGATGACAGGCGTGAGCCACCGCGCCCGGCCTTGCCTCATGTGTTTCGACCCGTGTTGGCTTCGCGGTGACAAATGAACCAGCCTCCTGGAGGAGGTTTTGTGGCCTTAAGATGTGCCCCGTGGGCGTGGGCAGGAGGCCCCGGGGTAGCTGTGGCCACAGGAGATGGTGGAGCCGGGTAGCGGAAGGGGAACCGTGTCTTGCCGCGGTGGCACGTCACTTGTGTCCAGTAAGTGGCGAGGGGTAGTTGGTGTTCCTCGTAACTCCGTGGGATGAGCTAAGTCTTGAGCCACTGATGGTGACTTGGAGGGATTAGTTTGGCTTCTGGGCCCCACTGTCTGGGTCTGCACCGGACGTGAGTGGTGAGCGGGCGCTCAGGCTCTGAGGACTCGGCCCTGCGGCCCGGGAGAGGGAGAGGGCGCCTGGCCGTGTGTCTGGGGGGCTTTGGGGGAAGGCCGTCTCACACTGTTTTTTGCTTTTAAAGGTTTCTTTTGATTCGACCAAACACCTGAGTGATGCGTCAATTAAGAAGCGGCAGCTGGAGAGGCAGAAGCTTCAGGAACTGGAGCAGCAAAGAGAAGAACAGAAGCGCAGAGAGAAGGAAGCGGAGGAGAGGCAGCGAGCGGAGGAAAGGTACCTTCTGCGGGAGGGGCCCTCGGCGCTGGTGTCCGGCACCTGGGAGTGTGCGCAGACTCGTGTGCGTGTGTATGCATGTATTCCTGTGTGTGTGTGTGCACGCTTGTGAGCTTGTGTGTACCTGTGTGCATGGAGGCACGTGTACCTGTAGCACGCATGCCTGTGAACTGGTGTGTGTACTTTGTATGTACGTATGTGTGCCCGCGTGTGCCTGTGCGTCTGTGCACCCGTGCCTGTGTGCATGCGTGCCTGTGAGTACCCGCGTCCATGTGTGTACCTGTGTGCGTATGTACACGTGTGTGCCCGTGCTTCTGCGTCTGTGCACACGTGCCTGTGAGCTCGTGTGCGTACCTGTGTATGTACGCATGTGTACCCACGTGTGTGCCTCTGCGTCTGTGCACACGTGCCTGTGTGTGCATGTGTGTGAGCTCGTGTGTGTACCTGTGTATGGCATATATGCATGTGTGCCGTGTGTGCCTCTACATCTGTGCACGTGCCTGGCCATGCGTGCCTGTAAGCTCAAATGTGCGTACATGTATATACGCATGTGCCCGTGTGCCTCTGCATGTGTGCATGTGCCTGTGTGTGTGCGTGCGTACCTTGAGCTCGCGCCACCTAATAATGCATGTGTGTACGTGTGTATGTATGCATGTGTGCCGCGATGTGTGTGCTCCTCTGCATCTGTGCACACAGCACACATATGCCTGTGTGCATGCTTGTGTGCCTGTGACCCTGTGTGTGTACTTGTGTGTGTGCACGTATGGGTGTGTGTGTACGTATGCCTTGGAGTCACCCAGCTGTGCGCGTGAGGGCCTCGTATTGGTGTGGCAGCTTTCCCGGGACAGCGTCTTTCCGGAAGAGCCACCTCTTCTCCCTCCACACGCTGTTCACATATCCCACTGAAACAAGCAGAATGCCTTGGCCGTTTGCAAGTTTGCATTTGAAGTCGAAACTACATTTACACAAGAAAACAGTAGAGGAGTTGATGGTGATGGCCAGATTTAAAACAAAACACCAAAACCATGGGATAAAAACCCGGTTTCACGTGAGAGGCCTTTAAAGCACAACCCGCGTGTGTGCCTCTGCGTCTGTGCACACATGTGCCTGTGTGTGTGCGTGCGTGCCTGTGAGCTCGCGTACCTGTGTGCATGTGTGTACGTGTGTGTGTATGTATGCATGTGTGCCCACGTGTGTGTGCGCCTCTGCATCTGTGCACACAGCACACATATGCCTGTGTGCATGCTTGTGTGCCTGTGACCCTGTGTGTGTACTTGTGTGTGCGCACGTATGGGTGTGTGTGCATGCCTGTGGGTGCGCAGCTGTGCACGTGAGGACCTGCGTGAGTGGCTGTTTGAGACGCAGCAGAATATGCGTGTTTCTGTTGGTTTTCCTGTCATACATCATGGTCTGACGTGATCTGCCGGTTCCCGGGACCGCGTCTTTCCGGAAGAGCCACCTCTTCTCCCTCCACACGCTGTTCACATATCCCACTGAAACAAGCAGAATGCCTTGGCCATTTGCAAGTTTGCATTTCGGTCGAGGCTACATTTACAAAATGAAGTAGAGGGTTGATGGTGATGGTCAGATTTAAAACAAAACAAAAAACCATCGGATAAAAACCCGGTTTCACTTAAGAGGCCTTTAAAGCAATGGCCTGAGTTGTTCACTGCGGTGGGGGTACCAAAGACAACCTCAGGTCACTCTTTGTAGCCCTTTTTATCTTCTTAGCATTGCAGGAGGGAACCAACAACTTGCTGTGAATCCCGTGAGGCGGATTCCTCGTTGTCCTTCTCCATCCCTCCTGCTGTGCCCTCTTAGGCAGATTCCTCCTCCTGCTCCTCTTCCTCCTCCTTCTCCATCTCCTCCTCCATCCCCCCACCAGGCTGTGCCCTCCGAGGACTTCAGTGCGTCCTGCACGTCTGTTGCGCTTCGTGTCGCCGATACCGAGTCTGGGATGTGTTGGACTTGGCTGGGGGCCTCCGGTGGGACCGAGTTGGTCCGTTGTGTTTCCGTTTCTCACTGCTTTATGTGACGCTGCTGCCAGTGTGTTGATGTGTGTGGCGGGTGATGTTTGCACAGGAGTCCCAGCACTGAACTCCTGGGAGCGGGGCCGTCCTGCCCTTGGTGTTCTTTATATAGCCCCCGTTGCCTCCCGAGGGGAGAGTGGGGCTGAGGGCTCCTTAGATGAGGCAGGTGCAGCATGTAAGTGAGTGGCCGTGAATGGGCTGGGGGGCCCAGGTCAGCCGTCAGGAGCCCCAGGACCCAAGGCAGGCAGTACACAGAGGCCGACACCCTGGGAGAACTGGACGTGCTGCTGTGTCGCCATCCTGGGAGGGGCGGTTCGGATGTGGGGTTGAGTCAGGGTCCCCTGTGTCAGCCACTGTCAGGCTGACCAGGACACCGGGGTGGGAGACAGTCCTGGGACATTACAGGGACTCTTCCAGGGTGCAGACACAGCCCAGGCCTGGCTGAATGTGCCTGTCCATGTTCTGGAAGTGGGAGTGGGACTCAGAGCCTCGGACCTCTCAGTCTTGCAGGACTGTCCCCGCAACATTTCAGAAAGCAGCGTGGGGGTGAGGAGAAGCTGCATCCTTGATCCTTCCCTGAGGAGAGAGGGCGTCGGACAAGTGAAGTGGGTCTCTGCAGGGAAGAGGCCCCGTCCAGCTGGCCAGACCACAGAGGGCCTGGGGGACGCGGGGCCAGGCCATGAGCTTCTCCACAGCAGGACAGGGTGGCTGGAGCCCTGGGGGAGGGCCGGCCCGTCGTCAGCGAGAGCTGGTCGGGAGCTGTCCTTCCTCACGCAGGGCCGTACTCGCCCCTGCTGCCCCCCCGTCGTTCCTCAGAGGCTGAGCATAAGAGGAGGCCCAGGGCAGCCTCCGGTTTCTCTCTGGTGGGTGGAAAGGAGGCTTGCTTGTTTGGCCCTCACAGGTGACTTGGAGCTTGATGAGCGCTGTCCCCTGAAAGCTGCCCAGCCTTGAGGCGTCGGTGTGAGTCCTGCCTAAGGGCGTGCTATGTGCTGGGCTGCCTGGAGCCGTCCTCTGAGCTCGTGGGGCGGTGACAGCTCACTGGGCAGTTAAAACGTTCAGCACATGGAACTGCTTGAGGACCTTCATACCCCGGCCGGAGACTGTGTGGATCGCTGCCTGGCCGTCAGCACCTGGCCTGGCTCCCTCCTTGGGGTGGTGGAGAACGGGACGCCTTTTCTCCCGGTCTACTCCTCATCCCCGTGTCTCCTCTCGCCTTGGTGTCTCCTCTCCCCTTGGTGTCTCTGCGGGTCTACGTCATCCCGTCAGGCCTGCTCGGGTTCCTCGGTGCTGCTTAGAGCTGCACACAGGGCTTCCAGGCCACTCTTCTTCTTTTTTTTTGTTGAGACGGAGTCTCGCTCTGTCACCAGGCTGGAGCGCAGTGGTGCGATCTCGGCTCCCTGCAAGCTCCACCTCCCGGGTTCAAGCGATTCTTCTCATTCTTCTGCCTCAGCCTCCCAAGCAGCTGGGATTACAGGTGCCCGTCACCATGTCCGGCTAATTTTTGTATTTTTAGTAGAGACGGGGTTTCACCGTGTTGGCCAGGATGGTCTTAATCTTTGTGATGTGCCCACCTCGGCCTCCCAAAGTGCTGGGATTATAGGCGTGAGCCACTGCGCCCGGCCCGGGCCACTCTTACCAGGTCTTGTTGTGTTTCGTCGCCGCCGGGCTGCTGGGGCAGGGGTCCCTCCCCGTCCAGCTGTGTGTGTGGTCGCCGCCCTGCTTGTTGAGGTCATGGGTGATTGTCACCCAAGGAAGTGTGCTGGCGTTGAGTGCAATCGGATGAAGCCACGTGCCCCTCCCCTGGGAAGGGCCCCTCCTGCCCTGCTCCCTCGACAGACGCCCTCTCCACAGCCCCAGGCAGCCGGGCTGGCGGTTTTGTGCCGTCGTGGGTGGGCCCTTTCTAGAATTTCACAGAACGGGGATCTGTGCGGTCTGTTGTCTTCAAGGCCGGATTGTCCACTTGGCTCTGGGGCAGGGCTCTGCACGGCGCGTGTCCCTCGTCCTCCTCCCTGGTGCCCGGGGCCGCCTCCCTGGTGTGCACGCATTCTGACCTTCACCCGTGATTTTTAGAAAGCTTTCCTGTGGAGCTGGAACCTGCTTCCTGGGGCCCCTGCTGTTTGTGCTCAGTGCTGTCCTCTGGACGGATGCACCAGCCGAAGCCGGGCGCCTCACGTGGTTTGGTGGCCATCTGCGTCCTTCTGCCGTGCGCTGTTTCCGCATTGGGGCGCTGGCCTTTCCTCGGTGGCGGCCACAGATGCCGCACCCCAAGGATCTTCCGCAGTTTCTTGAGTTGTTGCCGATGCTCTTTCCGCCGTCCGTCCGTCTTTCCCCTGGCTGGGGCGTGGCTTTTGATGTGGTCGATCCGCTGGTCGTTTTCTTCGTGGTTTCGGGGTTGGGTCACGCTTAGCAGGATGGTGTGTTGGAAGATCACGGAGGTCCTCGCCTGGCTCACTCCTTCCACCTCTCGGGCTGCTTTCAGTCAACAGGTCCACTTTTGGATAGAGTTAAATGCTTAATTGTTCAACTGTGGCCTTTTCCCCCTTGTGTGAAAAGCCACTTGTATGGTGTATCATGTGTTGGCTACAGCTGCTATCTGTGACAAACCCCCGGTGTGTTCCACGCAGGAAACAGAAGGAGCTGGAAGAGCTGGAGCGAGAGAGGAAAAGAGAAGAGAAGCTTCGCAAGAGGGAGCAGAAGCAGAGGGACCGCGAGCTGCGCCGGAATCAGAAGAAGCTGGAGAAGCTGCAGGCAGAGGAGCAGAAGCAGCTGCAGGAGAAGATCAAGCTGGAGGAGCGCAAGCTGCTGCTGGCCCAGAGGAACCTGCAGTCCATCCGGCTCATCGCCGAGCTGCTCAGCAGAGCCAAGGTACCCGGGGGCTCCCTCTGCCGCCGCCAGCCGCACCCGGGCTGCCCTCGGTGCCCCTCCCCTGAAACGCGGGTGGCGTCACGGCGCCGTTTCCCCGCTGGCCGCAGCTGTACCCACAAAACCAGCTTTAGTGCCGAGGATGACGGCTCCTGCCCGGTAGGGTGTAGCACTTGTCTGTCGTTCCCGATGATTTCAGAGCTGTGACCGTTTCCTTTTGCAAAGCTGGCTGGCAGCCTCCCGGGGGCTGGGGCAGACGCTCTCTGTTTCCTTTGGGTCCAGGCAGTGGCGGAGAGTGCAGGGGGCCGCTCTCTCTGGCCCGTGCCTGTGTGTGTGGTCAGCTGGCCTGGCTGTGACCTCACCAGTGGCCCAGAGCAGAGGGGCAAGGTGGGCTGGGTGGAGGGCTGAGCACGCAAAGGGGGCCTGCCGTGGGCCCGGGTCCCTCCTCCGCCGTGTGAGCCTGGCCGGTCTCACCAGCGCCGGTACTGACGACCCCCTCAGCACCAAGAGCCTCCTTGCTCCTCCTGCAGGCACGACGGGTAACTCCCATGAGCCCGGGGCCAGGGCCCAGAGACAGACAGACCTCCCCAGGACAGACGTCCCCAGCACGCTCCTTGTCCTCAGGAGGGCTGCGTCCCCCTGGAGTGCAGCGCGGGGCGACCCCATAACCTGTTGTCTGATTACAGTTGTGCTAAGTCCCCGGGAAGGAGCATGACAAGAGGCTGAGACATGTGTGGCAGCCCAGTCCTTACCTCATGGTGAATATTGAAGACACTAACCCAGGCTAGGCCAGGCTCGCCCCGCGGCGGCGGCGGCAGAGGCGGCGTGTGTCTGCGGCGTCATTTCGGCTCCCTGCTGCCGGCGGCCGCTTGTGACCTAACTCCAGGCCCCTGCGCGCAACGTGGCGGGGCTCCCGGCAAGGCCCGGCTCTGCCCGAGAGGCGCGCCCCGGGGCTGTGCCCAGTCGCTTTGCCAAGGGGTTTCCTTCGCACTCAGACGCATGACGGCCCCCGGTGTGGCCGAGGGATGGACGGGCTGGCCCTGGCTCGCCGTAGGAGACGCCCCCGCCCCAGGGCTGGAGTCCAGCCAGGCCGCTGATCCTGCCTCCCCAGGCCATGGGGCCTCCACACACCGTCCCAGCTCCTCTCCCCGTGTCCGGCCGGGCTCAGGAGTCAGGCTCAGCCGCGCTTTCCTCTTCCCTGCAGGCCGTGAAGCTCCAGGAGCAGGAGCAGAAGGAGGAGAAGCTGCGGCTGCAGCAGCAGGAGGAGCGGCGGCGGCTGCAGGAGGCCGAGCTGCGGCGCGTGGAGGAGGAGAAGGAGCGCGCGCTGGGCCTGCAGCGGAAGGAGCGGGAGCTGCGAGAGCGGCTGCTGAGCATCCTGCTGAGCAAGAAGCCGGACGACGCCCACGCACACGACGAGCTGGGCGTGGCGCACGCCGACCTGCTGCAGCCGGTCCTGGACATCCTGCAGACCGTGTCGTCCGGCTGCGTGAGCGCCGCCGCGCTGCACCCCCTCGGGGGCCCGCTCCCCGCCAGTGCCCCCAAGGAGACCGCGGCCCACCCGGAGGCCGACGGCGCTCCCAGAAGCGTGAACGGCAGCGTGGCCGAGGAGGTCCCGTGCCGGGAGGGTCAGAGCTCGTGCCGCGCGGCCCCCGAAGACGGCTCTCCGGAGAAGCGGTGCCCCGGCGGCGTCCTCGCCTGCATTCCCGACAACACCCAGCAGCCCAAGGGCCTCCCTGCCTGCGAGCAGAACGTCTCCAAAAAGGACACCCGGTCGGAACAGGACAAGTGCAACCGGGAGCCCAGCAAGGGCCGGGGCCGGGCCGGCGCAGACGGGCTGGAGGAGCGGCACAAGCGGGAGAGGAGCCGGGCCAGGCGGGCGGCCAGCAGGGAGGACGGGCGGCCGCGCAAGGAGCGGCGGCCCCACAAGAAGCGCGCCTACAAGGATGCCAGCCCCCGCCGGCGCAGCGCCAGCCCGGACCACACCCGGCCCCGGAGGTCCCACAGCAAAGACAGGCACCGCAGGGAGCGCAGCCGGGAGCGCAAGGGCAGCGCCAGCAGGAAGCACAGCCGCCACCGCCGCCGGAGCGAGCGCTCGCGCTCCCGGTCCCCGAGCAAGCACCGCAGTACCTGGAACAGGTAATGACGGGCGCGGCCTCCCCGTGGCCTGTCCGGGAAGGACCAGGACCTGCTCCAGCGTCCTGGCCGCTCCTGGGCCGCTCTCCGTCCACCCCCTGCAAAGCTAAGACCCTCCCGCAGCCAGGAGCGTCCAAGGAGCCCGCTGGCGAAGAAGGAAGACACCAGGCTTTCGAGATCCATCTTTCTTCACTCTCCGCAGCGTACTCGGCACTTCAGTTTCCAGCAGCTAGTCCTCTAAAACTGGATCCCATAGCTTTCATACGGCCAGTCCTCTCTCAGTCAGGAAAACCGCACGGACGGACAGGCGTGAGAAGGGCAGAGCTGCCGCGTTCATCCTCCCCACGCCGGGATCTCTGTGTCTGCTTGGCGACCTGCCCGCGTGCACGGCCCAGGAGGTGCACCTGACGCAGCACGGGAGACTCCGCGAAGGTGGGGACCACCGGAGTCGCACCCGCACTAGAAAGAAAAGAAAAAGCGTTGCCCTGGTGATTCCTCCCCCCTCCAGCTTGTGATTTTAACTGATCGGGAAACGCAGGTTGGGTGGGATGTGCCCAAACGTGATGCTGACGTTGAGTCACGGGTGAGGAACGTACAAGTCCTTTGAGATCAAAACCCAAACAAACGGGCCATTCTTTTTAAGGCGTTGGTGTGCGAGGAGTAGTACCCAATGCTCTGATGGTCCTTAACTTCCAAAACACTCACTTTTTACAACTTCGAGGAATTACGCATAAAAAACGGGGGTGAAAAAGCTTTGGTTTCTAGTAAAGGTTAGTGCGTGTGGTTTTTTTAAGAAGCTGTTTTGCTAAATTATTTTTACTTGGAATGTTTCAAACAGATTTCAGGCTGCAAACTTGTTAAGTTTTATAATCATTCGCTTCTCCGAGTGAAGCCCAGAAGTACTTAAAAATAGCTGTAACGTTCGCGTTAGGAAAGATGGTGTTTATTCCAGTTTGCATTTTTATGGTGAAATAAAATCCTTTTCCAATGAACTGAAATTTTTCACGCTTACGGTTTTTGTGTGTTTATGCGCCTTGGACTGCGTTATTCCCCTGATTCTAGCCAAGTGTGTGTCAACCCAACGGAAACCGTTCACTTTTCCTAGAACGGCTGATTCGGTGATCGTACATCTCACAGCTCTCCCGGGGCTGTACGGTAGTCACCTTCTGAGAGGAGAGTCCTGGGTCCTAAGACGCATGAAATTTGTTTGCTGAGAACATAAACTTAGCCAAATTTAGAAAACCAATCTTTTTTAAAACCAAGGAGCTGTTTTTAATGCACATTTAAAAGACGGTGGTTCTTCTCCTCACCGAACGTAGTGGTCATAGGTAGTAGTGTAAGCGCTGCCTGGTTGACCCAGGGTGGAATAGTCCCTTCCTCTGTTTAGTTAAATCACACACCTCCTTGGGGACTGGAGGGCTGGAGACGTGCCTGTCCCACCCCCAAGCTCATATCGCTCGCGGATAGATGAGCAAATGGCTCCGTCTTGCCCGTGACCAGACACGAAGTGTTTGCAAACATGGGCCTGTCAGAACTCTGTGCATCTGTATCGGTCTGTCCAGCCCAGCACTGAACTTTTGCCTGTTCCGCAGCTGTAAGAACATTGCCAGGACCGGGTGTGGTGGCTCACGCCTGTAATCTCAGCACTTTGGGAGGCCGAGGCAGGTGGTTCACCCGAGGTCAGGAGTTCAAGACCAGCCTGGCGCCCCATCTCTACTAAAAACAAAAAATTAGCTGGGCGTGGGGCTGGGCGCCTGTCATCCCAGCTACTCGGGATTCCGAGGTAGGAGAATCGCTTGAACCCGGGAGGTGGAGGTTGCAGTGAGCCGAGATTGCGCCACTGCACTCCAGCCTGGGTGACTAGAGCGAAACTCCAAGTCAAAAAAAAAAAAATGTTGCCAGGACCAGGCGCTGCTCTGGGCACCTGGTATATGGTGCCGGAAAAGACAGCGCTGTCTGCAGCCCTGTGGGTTTGTGAATGTGTAGATACAGGGATGAGAAGTCCCAGTGACAGCTGCTGGAGCAAGCTGTGTGCGCAAGGCGGAAGGGTGGACGTGATGTGTCTGAGATCAAGAAGTGAACGTGGCCGGGGAAAGGAGTAGGCGGAAGACACGCAGGAAAAGGTGGACGTGGAGCTGATCGCACACGTGAGGCTGATCCACGCCAGACTTTTGGGACGAGAAGCAAGAGGGCTGTAAGCTGGGAGTGTGACGTGCTGGTGGACTGGGCTAGGCGTTGATGGGAGAGGAGAAGGTGGCAAAACTTCGATGCGTGTTGCCTTGTGATACATTGGACGTGGACGGTCTAGGAAAGCTGGAGAGCACCACCCCCAGGCCGATAGAATGGGTATCTATGGAAGAGATTTAGGAATCTGAACTCTTTCTCTTCTTTCTTTTCTCTTTCTCTGTCTCCTTCCTTCCTTCCTTCCTTCTTCCTTTCCTCCCTCACCTTCCTTCCTTCCCTCCTTCTTTCCTTCTTTCCTTCCTTGTTCCTTTCCTTCCTTCCCCCTCCCTACCTACTTCCCTCCCTTCCTTCCTTCCTCCTTCTTTCCTGCCTCCCTCTTCCTTCCTTCCTTCTTCCTTTCTTCCCTTCTCCCTCCCTCCCTACCTTCCTTCTTCCTTTCCTCCCTCCCCCTTCGTTTCTTCCTCCTTTCTTCCCTTCCCCCTCCCTACCTACCTTTTTTCCTTCCTTCCTTCTTCCTTTCCTCCCTTCCCCCTCCCTCCCTACCTTCCTTCCTCTCCTCCCTCCCCCTTCCTTCCTTCCTTCCTTCCTTCTTCCTTTCCTCCCTTCCCCCTCCCTACCTACCTCCCTCCCTCCCTTCCTTCCTTCTTCTTTCCTGACCCCCTCTTCCTTACTTCCTTCTTCCTTTCTTCCCTTCTCCCTACCTACCTACCTTCTTCCTTTCCTCCCTCCCCCTTGCCTCTTCCTCCTTTCCTCCCTTCCTCCTCCCTACCTACCTTTTCCTTCTTCTTTTCCTCCTTCCCCCTCCTACATTCATTCATTCCTCCCTCCCTCCCTCCCTCCTTCCTTCCTTTCCTTCTCTCCTTACTCCTTTCTTTTCTTTCTTTCATTTCTTAATTTCTCTCTCTTCTTATTTTTTGAGACAGGGTCTCACTCTGTCACCCAAGCTGGAGTGCAATGGTGCAATCTCGGCTCACTGCAGCCTCCGCCTCCCGGGTTCAAGCGATTCTCCTGTCTCAGCCTCCCGAGTAGCTGGGATTACAGGCGAGTGTCACTACGCCCGGCTAATTTTTTGTATTTTTAGTAGAGACGGTTTCACCGTGTTAGCCAGGATGGTCTTGATCTCTGACGCCTTCCGCCCGCCTCAGCCTCCCAAAGCGTTAGGATTACAGGCGTGAGCCACGCGCCCTGCAGGGAATCTGGACACAAACACTGTGCATTGATCCTCATGCATATTCAACTTGAAATATCACTGAGCTACAAAGCAGAAGTGTGAAGCAGTCTGGCTGCGGCATGGAGCTGATCCAGCTACTTACGAACTGATGACGGTGTTGTTGGCATCTCCAGCTATCATTAGTTTCCTCTTCTCCTTGCAGTTCTATCATCTTTGCCTTTTGTATTTTTGATGCTCGTTATTTGGTGCCTACAAGTTAAAGTTATTTACGTCATATGTCTCATTTCTGATGTCCTTCTTTACCCTTGGCAATTTTCCTTCTGAAGTCTGTTTTAGATAGGAATCGGAAGGAAAGGAATTGGATAGAAACGGGTGTCCATGGCAATCTGAGAGTCTAGCCCCTGGACACGCACAGTGATATCCGGCATGGCATGAGTGTGCTCACGAGTGCCTTTCCGAAGAGCGTTCACAAGGTCGAGAATAAAGAACTGGTATTTATGGGCGGACACGGTGGCTCACGCCTGTCATCCCAGCACTTTGGGAGGCCGAGGCAGGCGGATCACGAGGTCAGGAGATCGAGACCAGCCTGGCCAACATGGTGAAACCCCGTCTCTACATAAAATACAAAAGTTAGCCGGGCGTGGTGGCAGGTGCCTGTAGTCCCAGCTACCAGGGAGGCTGAGGCAGGAGAATCGCTTGAACCCGGGAAGTGGAGGTTACAGTGAGCTGAGATCTCGCCACTGCACTCCAGCCTGGACAACAGAGGAGCCAGACTCCCATCTCAAAATAAAGTATTTGTGTGTGTGTGAGACATTGCAGTGACTTGTGCAGTTACTTTTAGAGCATGGGAACAACAGGAAGAATGTAGATTCAGGAGCTAGAATGCCTGATTCTGAACCGTTTCCCCAGACAGCCTGCCTTCTGCAAGGTGAGGCGGGGAGTGGGAGCTGTGTGTGGAACACACAGTCCAGGCCTCTCTGGAACCTCCATCGTTTTGGTTGGATCCTCAGGGCTTGAGAAACATCAACATTGTGAGTTCAGGTTGGATTTTCCTGTACCAATACTTTTATTTTTTTCTAGAAATTTCTCCCTCTCCCAGCCCCTCTCAGTGTCTCCTCCTGTCGTCTCTCCTCTCTTAATCTTCCTTCTCTCCTCTCGCCCAGCTTCCCCTCTGCTTCTCCTCTCTCCCGATCTCTGTTTTTGTCTCTCTTTGTCTCTCCTCTCTCTTTTTATTTTTTTGAGACGGAGTCTCGCTCTGTCTCCCAGGCTGGAGTGCGGTGGCGCGATCTCGGCTCACTGCAACCTCCGCCTCTTGGGTTCACGCCGTTCTCCTGCCTCAGCCTCCCAAGTAGCTGGGACTACAGATGCCCACCACCACGCCCGGCTAATTTTCGTAGAGATGGGGTTTTCACCGTGTCGGTCCAGGCTGGTCTTGAACTCCTGACCTGCGTGATCCGCCCGCCTCGGCCTCCCAAAGTGCTGGGATGACAGGCGTGAGCCACCGTGCCAAGAAGCAGTCTCTCCTCCTCTCTTTAATACTTCCTTCTGTCTTCTTTGCCCAGCTTCCCCTCTGCTCGCCCTCTCTCCTGATCTCTATTTTAGTCTCTCTTTGTCTCTCTCTGTCTTGTGATTTAGGGCATTTTGTGCTGAGTCCCTTTCTAGTAATTGGGATCATTATCTCATCATGGGTCATTAAAAATAGCCACAATTGGCCGGGCGCGGTGGCTCACGCCTGTCATCCCAGCACTTTGGGAGACTGAGGCTGGAGATCACCTGAGTCAGGAGTTCAAGACCAGCCTGGCCGACACGGTGAAATCCCATCTCTACGAAAAATACAAAAATTAGCCGGGTGTGGTGACAGGCACCTGTAGTCCCAGCCGCTCGGGAGGCTGAGGCAGGAGAATCACTTGAACCCGGGGGGCGGAGGTTGCAGTGAGCTGAGATCACACCACCGTCCTCTAGCCTGGGCAACAAAAGTGAAAGTCTGTCTCAGAAATAATAACAAATAAATCACAATGAATTTGAATTCCACCTGGCAGAACA